TGACCTCTGGGTCAGGAGTTTGGGAGTGCTCCTGGATGCCTCCTTAACAATGGAGGACCAGGAGCAGCCACTGCCAAAGCAGCCTTTTACCATCTGCAGCCGATTAGGCAGTTGGTTCCCTTCCTCAAACGCAATGATCTGGCAACAGTGATCCACGCAATGGTCACCTCAAGGTTGGACTACTGCAATGCTTTCTACATGGGGCTGCCCTTGGCGCAACTTCGGAAGCTGCAGCTGGTGCAAAATGCGGCAGCCAGGCTGTTGATGGGCCTCTCTATCCGAGAGCACATCCAGCCTGTGCTGAAGGCATTGCACTGGCTGCCAATAGCATACCAGATTCACTTCAAGGTGCTGGTTTTGACCTTTAAAGCCCTTTATAGTCAGGGACCTGCCTACCTGAGGGACCACCTTTCCCCACACGTTCCCCAGAGAGCACTATGGTCAGAGTTGCAAAACTGTTTTGCCCTCCCTGGTCCTAAGGATGCCAAGCTGGTATTGACCAGGACCAGGGCCTTTTCTTTGGCAGCTCCAACCTACTGGAATGACCTCCCGGATGAGATCAGGGCCCTGTGGGACCTCGCAGAGTTCCGCAGAGCCACAAAAATTGAGCTCTTTCGTTAGGCATTTAGGTAGGAGCCTTGTTATCATCTATGCCCAGTGCCAACTTATCTCCATCCTGAGCCCGCCGATAATGGATGGACTAATAAATGCACTTTATTCTAATGATACCCCCATCGTTTTGTCAATTGTTTCTACTAACCTGTGTATTTTATATTAATATTTGTATTGTTGTTTACCTATTGGTTCTTCTGTTACCGCCCTGAGCCTGCCTTGGCAGGGAGGGCGGGGTAAAAATCAAATAAATAAATAAATAATAAAACTAAGGACAGTGAAGTATGTCCCTGTATTACTTACTGTTCAACGTGATTCAGTGTTGCTTTTACTGTTACATACTGTTAGGCAGTACTCTATGCACTGGGTGCCATTACACATTTATAGTATATAATAAATCAGAATGAACACGAGGATCTTTGCCTCAGCCCACCAGCCCCTCCCCCCCGGACTACAAAACGAATGAAATGTAAACCTTTCTCGGGCCTGACCGGATTTACAGAACAGTGTTCCCTCTAAGCCGAGTCAGAGTAAGCTAGCTCACAGTTTTCTGGTCCCCGGCTCACAGATTTTTGTCTCAGCTCAGGAAGGATGGCTCCAGAGCAAACTGATTGATGCAGGAGCCAAATCACTCGCTCACAGCTTTGATGCCCGTAGCTCACAAAGTAGAATCTTTGCTAACAAGACCCCACAGCTTAGAGGGAACATTGCTCCCTACTGGCACAGCTTTTACTACTCTGTCCCCAGCCGCGCCTTTATTAGGCGGTTGCTATCTATGCCCAGCCCAGCCGCATGCCGCAAAGCAACACGGGAACGCTTTCCTTCAGCGGCCGGCGAGGCGGGATTGACAGAATTCTCCTCCCAGTTCATGTCTGTTCTTCCTTTGGAAGATTTACGTCAATAGGATGCGCCGGTCTTGTTGCTGTCGCTGTCAGCGGGCTCGCGCGGCTGCTGTTGTCCGTTGGTAGCAGTGGCTATTTGTTTGCGGGCTGGTAAGTGAGCGTCCTCGCGCCCTGCCTTGTGAGCGTGCGACATTTAGTCTTTTCTCTCCCCCCCCCCCCGCGCCCTTATCCCTACTGGATTTCAGGCAGATGCCTCTGTTCAGGGAGGTTGGCTTTTCTTGTCCTTCCAAAGGGGTACAGGCAGAAAGATGTCAAATGTTAGAACGAGTCACTTAAAAGAACTAAAGTAAGCGAATAAGGGCAACGAATTCTAATAATGTAGCTTCTCTGGATCCTCCAGCCTTTCGCCCCTTCAGTTGCAAAAATAAAGGTTAGGGAGATAAAGTCCGTTGAGATAAAGGGCGGTAATTCTTAAAAGCGTTGCACCGCTCTAAGGCAACTGAACAGTCGGTGTGATTAGAACGGCGTGACACTGTTGGGGGGGGGGGCTTCTCTATGTTTCATCACAAAAAATGCCAGGGGTTTTTAAAAATAAAATCCGTGTGAGTTGGAGAACTGCAGGCAGCGTCATCCACCCAGGGCCGGCTCTTTCCGCCCCCAGCATGGCTTTCTGGGTGCCCCCCCGCCAGGGGAGTGGGCTGCGCGCGGCGGCGGCACTTGTGGAGCGACGGCTGGCCGCGGGTCGGGTGGGGTGGGGAGGAGAAGCCGGTGGGCCCCAGGAGCGGCTCCGAGGGGGAGATCTCCACTCCGGCCGGGGCCTGTTCCCCCTGGAGAGGAGCTCGCCAAGTTCTCCGGCAGGGAAACTCTCGCGCATGTCCACTCCTGGACGCGGCTTCGGCTGCAAGAGCGGCCGGCTGCTTCCCGCGCGAGGTCTGGGCTTGAGCTCCCCACTCCCCCCAGGCTCTCCGAGGGGGCGGTGGTTTGGCCGCGCGGCGTGCCGCTGGAAGGGCGCCAGGCTGGGCAGAGCTATGCAAAGAGGCCTCCTCCTCCTCCAGCTCGTCTCCGGGTCCCCGTCTCCGGGTCTGTCAAGCGCCGCTGTGATCTCGGGGCTCGGGAGCAGCAGATTGACAGCTGTCACGCGCACGGGCAGGCCAGGCTCCGCGGTACCAATTGGCGCCTTTATACTTGGCGCGTCTGGAGCCGAAGGGCGGCCAGCCAGGGGGCCCCTCGCTCTTTCCCCGCGGACTCCTCTGAGTCCCCGCTCCCCCCCCCCCCCCCCGGGAGAAGATCTGCCCTTGAGAATCAAGTTCTGCAACTCTCTTGTAGACCGGAGTGGATGCCAGGGGGTTGAACCTGGGACCTTCCGCGTGCAAGGCAGATGCCCTACCACTGGCCCACAGCCCCTTTCCCTTCTCCATAATGTACTAGCTGTTTTAAAGCTTTTGAGGTGGGAAAAATACTTCATGTTTCTACATACCAATATCAGTGTTTTAAGTTTCTCAATGACTGGGATTATAGTTTTAACTTTCAATGTACATGAATTTCTAGCCATCTTTTAAAGTTTACTGTTTTGTGTGCAAGCTAGGATGTAAATCTTATTTTAAAAGAAATCTACCTTTTGTAATTTCTTTAGCGGAGCACCAGAGAAATCATCAGAAGAATTCGTGTCTTTGGAAATGTCAGCTGAAAACCTTGCATTAGCCACGGTTACTGATGCAGAAGAAAACTCAAAATCCAGCATTGATCTGAAAGCAGAATCAACACTGGAAAAGACAGGGGGGATTGAAGCTATGTCAAAAAGACAAAGAAAGAAGCTAATGAGGCAGAAACAGTGGGAAGAGCAGAGAGATTTGCGCAAGTATGGGTTGTCCTTTGCTACATGAGTAATGTTTTGTCTTTTTAATAATGCTGAGAAGTCAGTAGGTTGTCTCCTATTATTCTTCCCAGCAAAAGATTATAAATTGGATTCAGGCTCAGATGCTTTCTTCCCCATTTCTCCTTTTATCCTCTTACAGGGGAAGTGGATTAAATAACCAAATTAGGAAGATCCTACTTTTATTTTACTATAGGGTCTTTCTGAGTCTGTATGATAAAACATACTAGGAAGCCACCAAACCTTTAGTGAATATACTTATCTGGTATTATGCTGCTTATGCATATAAAAAAACCAAAAAAGAAGGGGAACCAGCGTACATGAAATGGTACAAAGCACAAAAAACCGCTGGCTAAAGATAAACAAAAATGTATAAAAATAATATTTAATGCCAAGTTCAATAATACAGTCATATAACTATATAAAGCCAAGGCGTTCTTACAAGAAACAACAGTAATATAGAAAAATAAAGTCCCAAACATTTCAATGTGTCTCACTCCTGTTGTATTGTAATTCCATAGTCCAATTTGACATACATTCATCATAGAGTGGACTCATATAGTTCCTGGAAAATCCATATAATCTTGAAATCCATAAGCCATAGAGACGCGCAGTCCAGATGCAAGCTGCCGCGTTTCGATTAATTCTTTTTCAAAACCAATAGGCTACAGTGGGACCCAATCTCAGTAGAAGCACATACAGAAGCCAGTTTATTCAGTCATAAAGGATCATGTATTATTGAACTCGGCATTAAATATTTTTATACATTTTTGTTTATCTTTAGCCAGCGTTTTTTTGTGCTTTGTACCACCTCATGGATATAGTCTACCAGCAGTTACTTCCTCAAATAAGACAGCAGATATAACATAGGATTGGTTCGTAGTGTTTATGTGTGACTAATTTTCCCTCTCCTTTCCCCTGGCAAATATGGAAGAAAATAATGCAGTTTGGTGTAGTAGTTTAAGTGTGCGGATTCTAATCTGGGAGAACCAGGTTTGATTCCCCACTCCTCCACTTGCAGCTGCTGGATGACCTTGGGCAAGCCATAGTTCTGTCAGAGCTGTTCTCTCAAGGACAGTTCTCTCAGAGCTCTCTCAGCCCCACCTACCTCACAGGGTGTCTATTGTGGGGAGGGGAAGGGAAAGGAGTTTGTAAGCCGCTCTGAGACTCCAAGTGAAGGGCTGGGTATAAATCTGATCTCTTCTTCTTAACAGCATGATAAATACAGTTGAAAAGGATGACTTGAGTTTTAAAAACTACCTTCTTATAGCTCCTATGTTATAATTGCTCTATCATATGGTGGGTGTTGCTGTTAGGGTAATCATTAATTATTGTACAGTTCTTGGTAGAGGCAGAACTTGAATTTTCTAACTGTACTCCACACACACTTCGACCAAGGCCTGATCCAAAGTTTGCAAAAAATACTTTTTTCCATTTTTCAGTCAATAAAACCATCACAACAATGTCATATTTCAGACTTGATATAATGTACAGCCAGCATCAGGTTGGCTTTGAACTTTGTGTATGTTTCCAAGTCAAAGAAATCACTGAGTTTTGTGAAAACTACAGCCATTTCCACTTGGGTTATCTGACCCAGCTTTTATGCTGTCAGGAAGAGTGTTTTTTCTTGCTTCCCCACAGCACTGTCTGTAATACATTTTTGCACCTCTTAGGGTTTGCACAGCTTTTCTCCAATTTTTCTGAAACCTGCTTTGCTCTGAAGTTTTGGGAAAGATTGTAGTAAAGCCTTCTTGGCTGCTGTGTGGGTGGGGAAAGGTCAGATTTTCCCTGTCCCTGCGCGGCAGCCATTTCCTCGCCCTGCTACCAGGGGGCTATTTTATTTTATTTTTAAATCAGCACTAGAATATCACTGTATTGATATACCATTGTAATAAGACTTACAGTGGAAGTGATAACAGGTACTATAGCAAGGTTTTTTGGTAACCGTTTCTTCATGAAGGAGGTTTTTGGTTCAGATGTACAACTGCACCATGGTTTTGTGCTACATGAATTGAATGAGCTTGTGGGGTTATGTGCCTACTCTTCCTCTTGTACACTGTGATTGTTACCATTGTAACAATAGGTGTAACCGTTTCTTTGAATTCCCAGCTTTCATATAAAGCAGAAGTTTAGTCTTTAGCCACTTCTGTTGTGAATATATGCCTTTGTCTTCCTGTTTGGAATACACATTGTTGCTTATCATTCAAATGGGCAACCTATGGTGTGTGTTTGTCTTCCAAACTAAAACTGCAAGCCATGTGGTTTACCATTCTAATTTCGAGGCCTGGCACAAACTAGTTTGCTGACCTGGCTGCAAGAGCAATTAAGCAGTTGCCTCCAAACAAGGAGAGAAGGAACAGGAGCATTCAAGGGGATGGGGAAGAAGGAGCATATGAACCCATGGCTTATTTGTGTAATACCAAATCGATGTGGCATTGTATCTTAACCAAGCCACTGTCTGAGTCCTGTTATAATAAGAACATAAGAGAAGCCAGGTTGGATCAGGCCAGTGGCCCATCCAGTCCAACACTCTGTGTCATACAGTGGCCAAAACCCAGATGCCATCAGGAGGTCCACCAGTGGAGCCAGTCCATATATTTATCCTCCACTGTTCTATCTGTACGTTGTGGCTAATAGCCATTGGTGGACCTCTCCTCCATATATTTATCCAATCCCCTATTGAAGTTATCTATGCTTGTAGCCACCACCACTTCCAGCAGCAGTGAATTTTACATGTTTGGTGAAGAATTACTTCCTTTTATCTGTTCTAAGCTGCTGCTCATTAATTTTGTGGAGTGCCCACAAGTTTTTGTATTATGAGAAAGGGAGAAAAGTACTTCTTTCACTGCCTTCTGTATCCCATGCATAATTTTGTAAATTTCTGTCATGTCATCCTTTAATTGTCGTTTCTCCAAGCTAAAAAGTCTTGACTTATTTCACCTTTTTCTTAGGGAACGTGTTCCATCCCCTTGATCAGTTTAGTTGTCCTTTTCTGCACCTTTTCCAATGCTATAATATCTTTTTTGAGATGTGGTGACCAGAACTGTGCACAATATTCCAAATGAGGCCACACCATAGATTTATACATGGGCATTATGATGCAGGCTGATTTCAGTCCCCTTCCTAATAATTACCAGCATAGCATTTGTCTTTTTTATTGCAGTTGCAGTCATGAAAATCTGGGTCACAGTCATGAAAACTTGAGCATAAAATGGCTTTTCATGTCTTTCTAAGGGGGAAATGGCTTAAACCACTGTTGGAATGGCTATATTGTAATACCAGTTCCTTTACCTTCCCATGCAGTTATCCCTGAAAAGTTCACGGGTGTGCAAAAAAGTCACTCCCCACCTCCTGGCCACAACTGGGGACTGTATTCAACAAATAGTTTCTTCTGCTGACCAGCCTTTGGTTGCAACCTTAAATATGTGATTCAAACTGGAGGGGAGGCCACACACATCCTTGTCATGAGTGGAGGGGGGGGCGTTTAAGATGTATAGTAATTTAATCTGTTCATGTGAAATGAGCACACTATTCACAGCATTTCTATCCTGCTTTTTTACCAATATTGTCACCCCAAGGCAGCTTACAAAGTTTCTTTTTAAGCTTACACTAAACTTACAATAATGAAAAATAATGGGGGGAAAGCAAAAGGACAAGAATACTGGGACTGTGAGCCCAAACCCCATATTTCTTACTCTACAGTATGCGTGGGGTGGGGGTGGCGAAGTGTGTGCCCAGGTACTGAATGGGTATCTGGCAAGAGGGTATCCCAGTCCAGTTGTAACACGTAACCTTGCATGTATGCCCATGAACTGATAACTGGTGGCAAGCCACTCTGGTGCCTTATTCCGACAAGAAGCTGATTTCTAGAGCAATCCTAAGTAAAGTTAAATCCTTATAAATCCAGAAAACTCAGTTGACTTAGAAGGATTAAATTCTGTTTAGGATTGCACTGTTAACGGTCCACATACCAGCTCATGGTTAATCTTAATAGTACTTAATGTAGACTGACAAACAGTAGGTGTCCACCATGCCATTAAGTAAAGAACACAAATAAGCACTCTCAAAGCATTCTAAATTGTAGTGGGTGACAGAGCTAAGGGATGAGATAAAAATAAGAAACTATAAGCAATGACTCTGTTGTTAGAAGGGGATCGTTATTATCAAAAGTGAATTCATTTTTCAGTGAACCACTGGTATAATTTTCTGAGGTATTTCTGGGCTTCCACAAAACACATTTCTGTGTTTTTAAATGTATTCTAGTTAATGTCTCAGTACCTTACTAGCATTTTTTCCTTCTTAAAGACGATAGATTTGGTAAGTCTAAAGTTGTGTAATTGATTTGGCTATATGCAGCTATATAATGCAATAATACTTGGTTTTTAATACTACAATGCTTCAGGAAGAAACGTAAAGAAAAACACTTGAAGAGAAAACTGGAGCGCCAGTCTCAACTGGAATCAAGCAATGAAGGAAGCATCAGGAAGCACATGCATCGGGATATTGTTCCCAGTACCCTTCGTCTTATAATAGACTGCAGTTTTGACAGTTTAATGGAGATAAAGGTAAATGAAAGATGTACTGTTAAGTGCAATTTGTTCTGGCTGCTCTGGTTTGGGTATAGTTAAGGAACTGGATGGTTTGATTCAATGTCATCCTGAACATTCTGCTTATTCAAGGGGAAGGGGAAATTTTCATGGGGTGATCGCTCGACCTTAGCTGTCTATGCCAGCGAAGAGGAATGCATGGTTAGTAAATTGATGTAATTCAAGTTTTATTTTAAAATAATATGGGCAACATGTAACACATATCCTTGGTGAGCACCATAAAGGAAGTTTGCCTCTCACTTATAAAACAATGTTCATGTAGTTTCTGTAGATACTTTTCATTCTTTTTAGTGTAACTCTTCTCAGTCTGACCATGAATGGTAAAAGATTCATTCTAATCCTACAAGGAAGTATATATCACTAACATTGAAACTGAACAGGATATGTAAACCTCTACGCCCATACTGTTTGTTCAGAGGTAATGCCATACCCTTGCTTGGTGCTACCTGAACAAGCCCTGTGTGTATATGCTTCCCGTATGTACTAAGATTTAACATGGTTTGCAAGGTTTTTTTGGAGAGGGAAATATAAGCCATAGCTTCCTAGTCTGGGTATATGTGCCATACTGGAAGTCACTCATGGACAGTGGGTATGGAAGAAGGGGTAGGGTTTAAACACAAGGCTTATTCACATGGTGCTTAAACCATGGTTGAACACTGCATGTATGTACGGAAGCTTGCAGCCTCAGTCCAATTTGGTTATTATGGGACTTAGCCCCAAGTAAGTGACCCCAGTATCTAGGAGTAACTGCCTTGTCATCCACAAGTCAGTTAATCAAGAATGTAATTTACTTTGTCTTAATTACAAAAGTTTACAAACAAAATGAAGTACAAGTACAGCTTTGTAATATTGGCATCCCCCCCCCCCCAGAAAACATGCCTTCACAAATGGATAATTTCAGTACGTTAGGATATAATCTTATAAAGAGTAGGTTATAAACTAATATTCCAAAAATTTTAACAAAGACATATTGTCACAACATTGTTATTTATATATTCTAGACTATTTTTAATTTTTAAAAAAGAAAACACAGGCATCAGTTTGCAAATTGAGTTTAAGTCTCGGCTAAGACTGGCTTGACTTGCATACCATCTTTCAACTGAGCACACTTACTTTTGGACATCTTAGCAATTTGCGGTACTTTAATCCAATCTTTGACTGAACGTTTTCTAGTATCATACCAATTTTTTAGCAATTGTCATTTTTGTGTCACTTAATATATCTGACATTAGATTCTCTGAGTGTCTTAATAGTATTACATTAGGGTCTTTATTTAGGATATTTCTATGCCATCTCTTCAGAGTCCACTCAAGGTAGCTTACAATTAAAACATAATAATTTTAAAACAAACTATTGGACATAAACAGGGTAAAATAATCCATAAAACAGAAGGTGGTAAGATAAAACCCTAGCCCAAAACACTATAGGGCCTTAAAAATCGGAACTAGCATGAATTGTGCCTAGAAATGGATGGGTAATTAGTGCAGATCTTTCAGTGCAGGGGAAGATGATAATTCCTTTAACCAACCTCTGACAATAGCCTGCCTACAGTACTTTGGACCAATTCAAGTTTATGGACTACGTTGAAAAGCAGCTCCATATACAGCGCACTACAAAAACTAAACTGGATGTGATCAGACCATGGATCATCGTGGCCAGATTGCACTTTCTGAGGAATGGTTGGAGCTGGCAAACCAGCTGGAGCTGACATGTCACAGAGAAGACCTGAGCCTCTAGCCATAGGCCAAGATCCAGGAACAGCCCCAAGCTACAGCCCTGCACTTTCAGGGGATATGCAGCCCCCTCCAGGACAGGTTAAATCTGTGGTCTCCAAGCAGCTTCTCCATTGACCAATAGCATCTCAGTGTTGTCTAGTCTGAGTTTGTTTATTGGCCCTCATCCATCCCATTACCTTCTCCAGGCATCGATTCAGGTCTTTAGATAAGAACCAATATGGTTTAATGGATAGAGTGCTAGACTAGAAGCTGGGAGACCCAGATTCATTTCCCCACTGTGCTGTGGAAGCTCACTGGGAGAACTTGTGCCAGTCACGCACTGCCATCCTTACCTACTTCACAAGGTTGTTGTGAGGATAAAAGGAGGAGAGGAAAATTATGTAAACTGATTTGGGTCTCCTCTGGGTGGGGAGAAAGGCGGAAAGTAAATAAATTTAAAAATAAACCATTATTTTAATATTAAAAGACTTTTTGTCCAAAAATCAGAGACTATTTGGCATAACCACCACATAGTGTGAGATGAGGAAAGAACTAGGTAAGCTAGTTTGGGGAGAGAGTTAGGGTACAAGTGAAGTAAACAATATGTATGTAATCCAAAGAACGTTTGCCTTACTTCCAACAAATGTGTAATGTGTTCATATAAACTTTATCAAGCTTGTTAAGCATTAGATGCCACATGTATGGGACCTTTCAAATTAGTAAAAATTGTGTTTGACATCAAAAAAATATAAATTTCTATGTATTATCTTGCTTTCTTATTAGCCCAAATAAACTCTGAGAACATTTTCTGACATTTATTTAATTTTTACCTAACCATTCAAATTGACAAAATCTAAAAAAACCCAGTATTTTTAAGTATGGCCATCATTTTCAGGTGTGCTACTCTTCTAAAATATTCAATTAGTTTTTATGTCCGTTCTCTGTATGTTATGTTGTATTTCACACCATAGTTTTGCACAATTATTTTCAATTCAACTGATCTGAATTCAGAATCAACCAGGCTCCGAAGCATCTGATAGGCTTTGTGGAGTACTCTGAATTCTGTTTTTATTCTCTTGATTTATATTTAGATTCATGAGTTTAATTTTAGGTTTATTCATCTTGTAACCTGACAAGATCCATAAATACATTCAAGGATGGTTTTCAAAGATTGTAAGGCATGTAGACTGATGTTTTAAAAAAAGTTGCTACCCCTTCCTATATAACTTATTCAAAAAGTAGAAATAATAAAAAAGACAGTAATCAAAATCAAAATGTGATGTTTGAAAATTACCGTTGCTATGCACATGTTTTGTTGTCATGGCTTATTTTCTGTTTTAGAAAGATAAATGTTCAAAAAATAACTTTTGTCAGTTAAAAGTTTCCTTTCTCTCTCTTTAGCGTCTCTCTGAATCTCTTGGTTAAAGCATTTTAAAGTGCTTTCTCTGAAGGACAATATAAAAACAAATTGTGTTGTATACAGGATGTCAAGAAACTTCACAAGCAAATTCAGAGGTGTTATGCGGAAAATCGTAAAGCGCTTCATCCTGTACAGGTATGCTAGTGCAAATCTTTTCCCTAATTCCCATGAACTGATCGCTTAGTGATGTACATGATGATATGTAACCAGCCACTCCCCACTAAAGAGAAAATATTGTCCTGCTTGACAATTTTGGCACAGTTTCACCGTGTTTTGTCACAATTCCATTAAAGACAAAATTAACACTTCTCTCTGGAAAAGTGACAATACACAGGACCATGAATTCCAAAATGTAGGTATAATTTTGTCATTATGTTACTATTTTAAGAGTATTGAGGGCCACTATTTTCACTCAGCATATCTGGTGCAAAATTGTTCTGTCAGGTAAACTAAAGTAGTGAAAGCTCATCATCAAAGTTCATCAAAAAGAAATTTGTAAGTAGAAATTGGCAGGGAAAATGGGTATTTAATGAGCACTGAAATATTATATACTTTCCTCCCCCTTCCATCTTCCAAAGTTTTACTTGACAAGTCATGGAGGCCAGTTGAAAGACAACATGGATGAAACTGACAAAGGATGGGTAAATTGGAAGGTAAGAAGATTTTACTCTCCCTCTAATTAAATATTTATCTGGAAAACTTTTCATTATGAGAAATTTGTGATTTTAAAAAAAATCTAGTCCAGAGGCACTTTGAAACACTTTTTTGAGTCCTTACAATTATCAGCCATCTCAGTACCAGCTGATCAAGTTGTATTTGTGATCTCTGCTTCTCTGCCTGTTTTCCCTTCACTTTGAACTAGTAACTGACTACTTTGGATCAGATGACTTTGTATATGGCTGAGACTTTGAATGCCATAGTGTTAGAGACCCCGGCTGGGTTATTGCTCCTGGTTCCCTGCTTGGAACCTGTGAACAACTTCCCAGAAACTGTGGGTCCTCAAGGGTGGATGCACACAAGAAAACCAGACCTTGTAAAAATGTAAAAAGGTTTATTCAACAATTAAAATAATTGACTATGCTGTACAGACACTTCAGTCTCTTTAGCTCAGGAACAAGAAAACAAACAAACTAACTTTTCTATCTAACACATTAAATACCTTGGTATTAGATGGGCACTCTCTTGCAGCATAAAATCCAAGCAGTAGCAATGAGCATAAAAACCATTCTGTACCTTGCAGTCCATCATGATGAAGCATACCATATCTAAGCACACTAGCATGGTGTTAGCAGAACTCTCGCTCTGGCCTAGACCCTTATTATAGCTTTCTACCCTATAGCATCAGATGGTCTCTTGGGTCCAATCAAGGACCACCTTCTCAGAAACTTTCCAGAGGATGTTAGCAACTGCTCCTAATTCCCTTCTCCCATCTAGTTACACAACTGAGCACAGGTTCTCATGATTTGCCCAATAACTACATTCTTGCATCTGGCCTTGAAAGAGATAAGGATGGTAGTTGCAGGAACACTGAAATCATCAACACCTACAAGCCAAACTAGGCCTTCCAATATTCATGTTAACCCTTGAGAGGAAATTATGGTGCTTAGCCTTATACAAAGTCATATAATATTCTTTATGAAATGGCCTTATTACAGCTTTTCAATTAACAGTTTCAAAAATTCTGTTTTTGGAGGCTAGCCTGCAACCAAGCTTTTGTCGCTCAGCGTGAAGGTTGATTGGAACCCGTTTCCTTACCAGGAGGTTTTGGTTCAAATGAACTGCTCAGTGTATATTCTTCTACAAAATCTTCTGAGTAGAGACAGTGTAATGCAGGGGTCCCCCATCTTTTTGACCCTGTGGGCACCTTTGGAATTCTCACACCGTGTGCTGGGTGCAGCTGCAAAATGGCTCCCACAGAATGTAGAACTATGCACATAGAGGAAGCCCAAGTACAGGGGAGAAGAGGGCTAAATTAAAATATACACTGGGGAAGAGGAGTGGCAGAGAATAAAACCAGCCCTGTGGTGACAACTGCAACTGAAACAATGTTATTTTAGCCTGCACAGCCAATCAAAAGCGCTGCTGGGCAAGAGCGCCACCTGGCTGTACCTGCTTTCTAAAAACAGTTGTTGGGCACCAGGAAAGGTGGCAACAGATACCATGGTGCCGATAAGCCCCATATTGGGGACCCCTGGTATAATGGGATAGATAGATTCTTGGACTTGTGTCTGGGAAGTGGGCATTCAGATCCCCACTTAGTTATGAAGCTTGCTGGGCAAGTCATTGTTTCTCAGCCTGGTTTAACTCACAAGGCTGCTGTGAGAATAAAGTGGGATGAACTCATGTTATGAATTAAATCTTAGATCATAAACCAGCCCCTTGTTATTAGCCAGCTTTGATCAGCTAAGTCTTTTACAACTGCCTTTACAGCACTGCTGCTGTTAGCATGAGGGAGATGCAATTTTTGCAGTATAGAATGAACTGTTTCTTATTAACAGTGTTTGCAAAGCTTTTATTCTGTTACAAAAATGTTGGAACACCCACAGCTTTGGTTTGGTTCTGACTGAAAAATAGCTGTCGGGTAATAGTATGCAAAATGCTTGTGAGGATTGGCCCTAGACGGGCGAATCTATTGTACGAGCACATCACCCTGTGCTGCTTAATTACTCACAATTTAGGTCTTAAGAGTCAGTCCAGCCGTGCAGTGTGCACTGAAGTCAGCTTAATATCCTTGGACTTAATATTTGTAATATCCTTGGACTTCCTTGAATATTTTTGCTTGTATTTATATCTTGAAGGATATCTACATTAAATCAGAGCACTATAGTGAACTGATAAAGAAGGAAGACCTTGTTTACCTTACATCAGACTCTCCTGACATCCTGAATGAACTAGATGAATCCAAAGCATATGTCATAGGTGGCTTGGTGGATCACAATCATCACAAGGTATGCTGCTATGGCTGCAGTCTAGGGCAGATTTACTTGGGAAAAAGTACCTGTGAATTTCTTACTTCTGACAAAATATGCTTAGGTTTATGCTGTACAACATTATTTTAAAGCTGTTTTGAATCCTAATTCCATGATACCAGAAAAGAAGAGCATTGTAGCTCTCTTGGTTTTTCATGGTGCCCTCTATTTCCAGGTGATAGTAGATCTGTCAACTGACTTCTTCATGGAACATTTTCGAATTCAGCAGTATCCATTCTCCCTTCAACCACCAATCACAGCAGCTTTCATCCTCTTGGGTGCAAATTCCCTCTGGCAGTTAATGGGCGAGTGATGACATGGACCTTGCTTGCCTTATTCCTGATTTTCTTGGAAGTCAATCCACAAGCATTGGAATCAGTTTGGGCATGGTTCATCCACATGTCTGCATTTGTACTGTTGTGGAGCCAGTTTATTTATTTATTTTTTTGCATGTGGTTTAAATAATGAGGATTTCTTACTTCTGACAAAACATGCTTAGGTTCATGCTGTACAACATTATTTTTAAGCTGTTTTGAATCCTAATTCCAGGATACCAGAAAAGAAGAGCATTGTAGCTCTCTTGGTTTTTCATGGTGCCCTCTATTTCCAGGTGATAGTAGATCTGTCAACTGACTTCTTCATGGAACATTTTCGAATTCAGCAGTATCCATTCTCCCTTCAACCACCAATCACAGCAGCTTTCATCCTCTTGGGTGCAAATTCCCTCTGGCAGTTAATGGGCGAGTGATGACATGGACCTTGCTTGCCTTATTCCTGATTTTCTTGGAAGTCAATCCACAAGCATTGGAATCAGTTTGGGCGTGGTTCATCCACATGTCTGCATTTGTACTGTTGTGGAGCCAGTTTATTTATTTATTTTTTTGCATGTGGTTTAAATAATGAGGATTCAAGAGAAGGTGCTGACATGATTAGTGTTATTGGTGCCATCACATCACTCACCCACCTTTAAAAAAAAAAAAAGACTGGCCATAAAATAGCAACATAACGTTGTAGTAGTATAATGATAATTTAAGCAGGTTCTCTGAATTCCCAGCATTCTTTTTTTTAAGTAAGTTTCTAGCCTTTTCCCTTGTAAGGAAAAAGGCATATCTCTGCATCTCCATGAGGGAAGGAGCTAGATACTTTTTCTTTAGATGAAAGTAGAGAATTCAGAGAGCCCATTTATACTATCATTACAACACTATAGCGTTGTAACCATTTTTAGGACCATTTTTTACTGTTGGGGGAAGAAGGAGTAGTTTAATGATGATGACAGTCCAATCTTTGAAACGTGGGCTGGAGGTGAGTGGGAATGGGTGGGACAGAGAAAATTGATGGAAGTATTACACACTAGGAAACCAACTCAGAATGGCTTCCACAAAAATGTCAGGGTCACAAAAAAGCTAGGGAAAAGTGGGGGGGGGAGAGAAAACTAAAGGCACAAAAACGTGTGTGGAAATCAGTGGCTAAACTAAGTGTGAGGCCAGAATCAATTAAACAAAACCATGCGGAAAAGCCCATGGAGAGGCAGAGATTAAGCTAAAAGAAGAGGCTAAATGTACTCCAGCTGCCAGATGAATCCTATGTTGGGAATGGGACAGCAGAGGAAAAAGAAAATATTGAACAAGCAGGGAATACTAGTGTTAGTCTGATCTCCAGAGCAAGGCAAGCCCACCTCTGCAACTACGCTCATGAAAGGAATTCCCAGTTTCATAGCTTCTTGTTTTCTTCATCCAACCACATTCCCTGCAAGAGATGAATAATTCTGTATTGATTGCTCATGTCCAGGGAATACTAGTGTTAGTCTGATCTCCCGAGCAAGGCAAGTCCACCTCTGCAACTAGGCTCGTGAAAGGAATTCCCAGTTTCGTAGCTTCTTGTTTTCTTCCTCCAACCACATTCCCTGCAAGAGATGAATAATTCTGTATTGATTGCTCATGTTGCAGTATGATCCTTAAAACAGCTAAAGCAGGGTCAGCAGTGTATCAGTGGCTGCCAGAGCTATTAGGAGACCATCCTCTGTGATTCTGTTATTTTTAATCATGTTTATTGCAGCACTGCTAGTGACTCACCAAGGATAGGCTCCTAAGTAATGCAGTCCCTGACCAGAGCTAGACACAAACTATGAGAAAAGGTTTAGAATGTGCAGTTAGGGCAAGCTGTTGATTGGTCGCCATCATCGATGAGGATGGTGAAGATGAAGAATTAATAATAACTTCTATTAGAGGGCGGGATATAAATTGAATTGAATTTATTAAATAAATAAAAATAAATTAAAGCAGATTACATAAAGTCCTTCATCCAGGCACAGATTGAAAGCCAGTTTGGTGTAGTGGTTAAGTGCGTGGACTCTAATTTGGGAGAACCGGGTTTGATTCCCCACTCCTCCACTTGCACCTGCTGATGTGACCTTGGGTCAGTCACAAGCTCTGGCACAGCTGTCCTTGAAAAAGAGCAGTTTGTGTCAGAGTTCTCTCAGCCCCACCCACCTCACAGGGTGTCTGTTGTGGGGAGGGGAAGGGAAATAAGTTTGTAAGCCGCTCTGAGACTCCAAGTGAAGGGCGGGGTATAAATCCAATCTCTTCTCTTCTTCTTCTACTATATTTCCTTCATTTTACCAAAGCTATAGGATTAGAAACTCTCACATGTTACTAGATCTTACTTATTTACTTCATTTGTACATGACTTTTTTTACCAGTTGAGACCAAAGTGGTTTACAACTTTCTCTCCTCCTCCATTTTATGCTCACAACAGCCCTGTGAGGCCAAGAGTGTGACTCACCCAAGGACACCCATCAAGCTTCCATGGCACAGTGGGGACTTGAACCTGGTTCTCCCATTTCCTAAACCAATATTCTGGGTGTAACCACTGCACCATGCTGGCTTTTTTACTTTTCTGTTTTGTTTTCTAAATGAATGTGTTTTTGTTTATTTTTTAACTTATAAACAGTGGATTCTACTTATTTGTTAGAGTATGTGGGTACTGGAAGATGATCAGGGAAGTGTGGATGAAGGAAGCCGAACGGAGTAGGTTTGATAAGATGTAAGTCATACAGTGACTTCAGGGAAATATGCAAAAGGAATATATATATATCTTGCCAGTATAACATAGTTACAAAACATTTTATTGAAGTCTATTATAAGTACGTGAGCTTAGATTCCAAGCCATGCTTCCATTTGTGCTGCACTGTGGGGATGGTTCTTCTGGAACTAGAAGCTGCAGCTCATCCAAAACCAGCATCTTTCCATGAGAACACCTAGCACCAGCCGAAAGTGCTGTGCAGCAGAGGATTGCTTCTGTGCTAGATGGAAAAGGATGCAAATGGTAGCAAGCCACAGTCCATAAGCTGCAGTAGATCTTCTCTCATCATTTCGCTGTCATGATCTGTGCCTTTTTATATCCAGATAATGCTTAAGGGGGGGGGGAGAAAACAGTATGGACGTGAAGCTCTGGGAAACATCCTTGGAATATTCAAAACTGATTTATCACTGGTGGTCAGAGAAGTTTTATACTGTTTTCTCTGCAGGGCATCACATATAAAAGGGCACAAGAACTTGGAATAACTCATGCACAGCTTCCATTGGGAGTCTTTGTAAAAATGAACAGCAGGAAAGTTCTGGCAGTGAATCATGGTAAGTGATGAAGTTGGGGGGAAAAAACAAATGCTTCAGAATAAGCATGCCATAGATATCAAAATGTGCACCACACTTATTGGCCATCTGTTCTCTTGTACCTGCAGAGGCATTGTTGACTTCTGCCCAGTACATATTGTTGACTATCTTAGTGACACACTCCAGTAAGTGGACTTGGTTTCAGACACTGCCTGGGCAAGATGAATGTGCTAATATGTGTGTGATTTCCCAGTGTTCCTTGAATTTTTAGCTCCGGCCTTTGCAATGTAATTTGTGTTCACAAATAGTAGGCACAAATACTGTCACAGTTTGAGGATTGTGTGTGCTGGTCATTGTAGTGGCGAAGTACATTTCTACAGCAGTTATGCTTTTTTCCTTGTTTCTTGTATGCTGGACTTCAGCAACCGTCCAACACTATTTTGATTTATTAGACAGATAAAGAGTGTATACTCTACCATCCCATCCATTGACATAAGTATACCTGACTGATGAGGCATATATTTGTAATATATTGCCTTTATTCTTGAGTTTCAAGGTTGATTACAGGGCATAAAACAGTGCAGTCAGACAGTATAAAATAAGTCAGTAGGACTGTGATTACAGAATTAGAGAACAGTGAGAACCCCAAACTGTCTTAAGGCAAGATGTACGATAAACAACACAAAAAGTGTAAAAGGTTGCCATTTTTTCTATTAAATGAACACTTCTCACCTTTTGAAAGTGTTTGGGTTTTTTATTGTAGTGATCCTTCTTTCTGTGCTACAGCACCCCTTATTCTCCCCCCCCCCACGCCCCTTGAAGTATGCGTGCACACAAATGCTTATCCTTGGAATAAAACTTTGTTGGTCTTAAAGTTGCCACGAGACTCATTTATTTATTTATTTATCAAATTTATACCCCGCCCTCCCCCGTAGGGCTCAAACTTTGTTCTTTTGGTTATAAAATAACTCCAAAGCATATGCTTAATTGTAATAGAGCCACATGTTTATTTCATATTCAGCATTGTTTTTTATTTGGGTTTTTCATCTTTATATAAAATATGTAAAAATCATCACTTAATGATGCATTGGTTCATTTATGAAAATATGGCTCTACTCTGTCAGCATGAGATAATGCAGCAGTGCTAGTTAACGTAAGGGAAATCTTGGCAGCTTCTTGCTGTAGCAATTACATTCTGACCTCTTGTTACTGGGAATGCTTATGTTCCATTGCGTCAAGAACTGTCTGGAGTGTAGTGCTTTAATTGTGAGCCTTGTTATGTACAGTCTGTTACTGAGGTTATAATAATTAAAGGCATCCTTTATTTTAGAGAGAGGGTGTATCTCATGTTTCTGTCTTTTGGTTGCAGTGTTTGAGATAATACTTGCATACCTAGAGAAAAGAGTGTGGGAAGAAGCATTTTTCACTGTCCTGCCACCACGGAAAGGAGCCAAGCCGCTGCATGCAATAACTGACGCCTGTGTGTGCAAGCTAAAAGACTCAGAAGAAGTTCAAGATGAAGTGTCTGATAGTGACTAACTTCTTGGAGGAATATACATAAAGTATCATGGACTCTGAGGGGAGGAAGCTGGATTGAATATACAGGTGCAGCATGTTGTACTTGTGGTGCAGAACTGTTTATGGGGCATTGTATAGCTTGGCAGTTTTACATTGCCAAATCTGAACTGTATATTTACTTTTAAAGTGTCTGCTCTTTAGTAGATTTTAGTAAATTAAAGGACACTTTCTCAGGCTTTTATGTTTCCCAAGGAAGCTGATACATACTTTCCTCATAAATATTATTTAATATTTGTCAAGCAGTGACTTTTTTCTTCTTCTTGAGCTGGCAGTAGAATACTAGTGATGGTGAACAATAGGGATGGGCACAAACTGGCTTACAAACTAAAGTTCATGACGAATTATGGGTGGGTTTTGGTTCACCAGCTGAAGTTCATGGCAGGTCAACTGGCATGAGCTTTCCACAAACATTCAAGCCATTTGTGGCAGTTTGCGAATGGATACATTTCCTTTTTTTTTTTGGCCCCCCGAAGGGGATTTTTTAAATTTGCATTTCTAAAAAAACTACAAAACTACAATGAAAGGGGGGGGGACTACAAGCTATGGGAGAAAGGAAAAGAAGGCACTAAAACCCCAAGTGTTGAAGGTTACAAACTGCTTAAAGAAAAGATAAATTTCCTGACTGTCTCAGCTCTATCTAAATGTTTACCAAACTTCAAAGCAATGGGTGCGGAACTTGGCATGTAGAGGTTCCCAGTGACTTTAATGTTTATAGCTTGCACAGGATTCATTCTATACACTCCTGAACCTGCGCCTGTCATTTCTCCAGAAAGCAGTTTTTCTGGGGGCACCTTTGGGGGGCTGAAACTCAGACCCCGTAAATCCAATCCTCACTGAACTTGGAGGGCAGATAGAAGAGAGACAGCTGGAGATCCCCTGCGAGCTTGGTGTCTCTAGTACACCAGGGGGCTGTTCTGCTACATCATGAACCTCATGAACTGAAGCAGTTCGTTTGATGGCTAAAAGTTCTTGATGAGTCATGGTTCACGAACTGGGCACACCATGAACCATGAACTGAACTGCCTATCCCTAGTGAACAGTGCCTTGACTGAAATGCTTCTGTATTTAATTCTTTACGCTTCTTAATTTGTTCTTCTGTGGCTGATGTTCTGAAATCTGCCCTGCTTTGGGGGTGTTTTGGAGCATTTTGGTGCATATATAACATACTCCACTTGGAATTGTGATCTCTGATCTTGTAGGGGGGAAAATGAGAGAAAAGGCCTTTGAGGTCCTTTTCTTATGTCTATCAATACAGCTCCCTCTAAATCTTGGTGCAGATGTGCAAACTTGTAATGGCAACACTGAGATACATGCTCTATTTTTAAACTGCTGGAGATGATTCCACAGCAGTACACTTAAAGGCCCTTTGCTCATTGTAAATAAGCTTCCTGCAGTGCAGTCTTTCCTTACCTCTGAAGGTACTGTCAGCACCCCCACCCAAGCTGCAGCTGCTCACCACATTCCAGAACTAGTGACAGGTTTAGGGAATGACTAAAAGACAGGCTCCTTCCACGTGCCCTGGGATTTTCACATTGCCTTCACAGTGCAGGAAGATACCATGCTATGTGCAGTTGCCTTCACAGTGCAGGAAGATACCATGCTATGAGCAGTTCCTGTGCCACAGTGTGTGGGGGGTGGGGGCTAAGTACTACTACAATCTGACTCGTAATTGTTGGATAGAAACAAGCTTTGATCACTGAACGTTTTACAATGACATGCAACTTCTTAGTTTCCAGCTTGGGCAATGTGTTAAACTACATTATGTTAAATGCAGTGGGATTATAATGTTGCATGGGCAAACTTTAGATCTTTAAACTCTAGATCCTTCAGTTTTTAGCCATTCAGAATTGGAGTAGCATTCAGCTTGGTGTGATAAAGTTGAGCACCTTTTAATTCCATTTAGTTAATTAAGGCAAAGAGTTGAGCGATACTTCCACTGAAATTATAGAGATTTACAAAGTGTAACCTTTGGCTGGGTTGTACCCATAGTTCAAAGTTTACCGAATAAAAATGTTATGGACTGGGTAGTGTCTGGATAGAATGGAACAGGAGTGTTTTGCCTGGATCTTAGACCATCTCTTTTAAAAAATTTAAATTGCAAAGAGATCTGTAGTTCCAGGTCTTAGTCCCTTTTGTCGATAAACCAAAATGTTGACAACCAAATTAATTTACAAATTCAGTAGTACATTATTGTATCTAACTTGCATATTTCATTTCTGTCTTGAAATTCAGAACTGTTCAAGTTATTTCCAGTCAGTAGTTTTACAAAAGAAATACCAGAACTTCCACATTATTTGTCATGTTTCTTTTGTTTAATAATTGAATAGCTTTTGTAGAATTTAGTAACAGTGAATTTTAAAAGTCCAGAGAAACTTCTTTAGAAAAAGAGCCATTTTTCAATATTTGTTCTCCACTATAACAAAAGTTTGAGTCCAGTGGCACCTTTAAGACCAGCAAAGTTTTATTCTGGGTATAAATTTTTGTGCGTACGCACACTTCTTCAGATTCGCACAAAAGCTTATACTCAGAATCAAACTTTGTTGGTCTTACAGGTGGCCACTGGATTCAAACTTCTGCTTCAGACCAACACAGCTACCCACCTGTTCCCCACCAGTAAATGTTAATGCTCATTTTGTCTTCCATTGATTGTCTAGTAAATCATCATAGTCTCCCATCTTGTTAATGTACTTACCATATTTTCCTTCTGTTCTTGGCTTTTTAAAAGGACATCCATGTCCAGTTTCATGCTAGACAAACATTTGATCAGCTGGGAAGCTTTTTGGAAGGCTAAATACACATGTTTGCAGAGTATTCTGTGAATGCGAAACAGAGGCCTTAACACTGAGACTTGAAATTATTATTCCTTGTTCCTTTTTTAAAAAAAACATCCAGCCTGCTGAAAAGTTCTAAGAACTTGAAAGCTCGCATACTTATGTTGCTTGGATCCTGTAAAAGGTATTACATGGATTTTGTGTTTGGATTTTTTAATATCTGGATAATTCAAAAAGAGCTTTGAGAAAAGTCAGAGTATAAATAAATCAAACTCTCAAATGCAATAATTTTCTATGGGTAGCAGCAAATTTTGAACAAAAGGAGCTGAAAATTTCCCAGGTATGGTAAGTTTAGGACAAAGCAGTGCTTAAGGTGACTTGTATCGTCCTAGTAATTAACTGCACTTTTTTCATATGCATTCACCATATAAAAAGTAGAGACATCACCCTGCCAACAAAAGTCCGTATAGTCAAAGCAATGGTATTCCCAGTAGTCATGTATGGCTGTGAGAGTTGGACTATAAGGAAGGCTGAGTGCTGGAATAGATTCTTTTGAATTAGGGTGCTGGAGAAGACTCAAGAGTCCCTTGGACTGCAAGGAGATCAATCCTAAAAGAAATCAACCCTGTCTGTTCCCTGGAAGGCCAGTTAATGAAACTGAAGCTCAAGTACTTTGGCCACCCAATGAGAAGGGAGCCCTCAATGGAGAAGACCCTGATGCTGGGAAAAGAAACACCATATTTTCTAGTGCTAGTTAAATTACAAGAATGCAAGTAAAGTTTGTTGCATTTGTTTAGTGATAGGATAGTAATTCTACAACTTTTTCATAGAATTGTTTCCATTATCCTGAATGATTGGGGGAGGGGGGTGTTCTATGATTTCCTTTGTCTGAGATGTGCTGGACAGTGGGATTCTCAGTTATGTTAAAGTAGCATCATGGGATCCATCCACTTGCAAGCTGATCTCATACTGCTTTCATAATGAACGAATTAGCTTGGTATGATGTAGTGTACTAAAATACTATCACAAGCACTTACAGACTAGTGTAATCAAGATCAGACTAATATTAGATGCATCAATGAAACAAGGTTTCTGTGGAATGCTTAGACCCATAATTGCTTAGTAAATGTAATATCAAACCTGCTGTGTTTTAGTATACCGTATACATACAACATTAAAATGCTTTCTTTATTTCTGTAAGGAGGAACTGAGGGGAGCAGTACTACTTAAGAGGAAACGTCTAGCAACTAATAAAGAATGATTTCACTTCTCTTGCTACAAATTACGAACGATAATTCCAGTTCTAATGGGGCCAGTTACTCAACCTAACATCTGCCAGTGCACAACATAGCTGAGTAGGGATACGAACCCAGATCTTCCAGTTATTTTCACTATACCATATTGTGGCTATCCCTTTTTGAGGATCTAGGTATAAGCCTGGTAGGTTTTAAAAAAATGTATATCACTATGGCTGGATGACCCCACCACCACCCAGTTAGACAGTTGCTGACACCAAGGAACAAAGAGGCACTCTTGGTAGAGATGCCAAACATCGAGGCCCAGGGAAAGAAGGAGACAAGTGGTGACAGTTAAGCTGTGCCTGGGGGAGGCTAGGATGAGGCTGGCTGTGCCTAGGAGAGTGCAGCCTGCAATGTGGGAACATACCCTTGGTCAGGCAAAGGTCTGGGAAAAGCCCATAAAGGCCAAGGTGTTTCCAGGGCCATCCAGCTAGCATGCTCAGCTAGGACCTTAAAGGGGTAGCCAGGAGGGAGATGGGGTTGAGCTAGGTGGAGAAGGTGTGAAAAGCTAGCAAAGAAGAGGAAGTGAACTGCCTCTTAAGGCATGCTGGAAGGAAGCCTTTGTATTGGGCCTGAAGCTCAATAGACCCTGGTGATTTAGCAGTATCCTTGGCTCTGCATCTTGTTCTTGAAACTGTTTTCCTCCAGCCATGGAGCATAACCCCTTGCCAACTCTGTTGTGGCCCTTCCCCTCCCCCTTCACATGAGCCAGCCCCATCCACAGCCACCCACCTCATATGTCATTTGCACATCTTTTTAGTAAGAAAGCATGCAGTCTGCATTGTGAATTGTCATAGAACTATTTTGCCTAGCTACTGGTGGTTACTTTGTATGCAACAGAACTAATCATGCTTGGCACTGGCATAGTTCAGAACCACTACATTGTGGTCCATTAATGAAGTGTTCATAGAAGGTCACTTTCATTCTTTGTTTCTCTGTAGTGTTACCTTGCTTTTGAAAGAACATTTGGTGGTTTGTATGCTCCCATAACGTGGATGTTTACTGTGCATTGCACATGTT